TTCTTTCTCAATACAACTTTGCAATACACTTAATTTCCACAGTCACTTTAACTTAAACACACGCTGTCATTCACAACGATTCACGTACTTCTTACTTACGACTTGACTCGATTATCTGTCTCTATATCTCCCTATCTGCAATTATTATCTCCGCTTTATTTGCCGGGCTTATATACAAAAAATAGTGGGCGCCTGGAGAAGACTAGAGTTGCCAGGAACAGTCATGATCTTTCTAGAAACTCCAGCGCGCATGCTTCCAGCGTCGCGTGACTTCCGCTGTCGTAACAATATAGTTTCTATTAACTACCATAAACCATTATGTAAAATAAATAACTTACAGGTATTTACATTTAACTTACGATAACATAAAATTATCAACAAAAAAGAGAAAACTAACTTTAAATGATAACATTTTAAACTAAAATGATAAAAGTTCAACAGACTTCAAACGGTTATTTCTCTTTCACAAAAGAGGTCCTTCAGCACTGTTTTTTATAACTGTTTTCAGAAATGTCCAGCCGCAGAAAACTTTTACTCAGTGTAAATTAAGTTCAAAGAAATTTTTGATTGCCAGAAATAATCTCTTTCTGTCGAGGCACGAACATGAACAACAAGCGGGCCATTTATTCTACCAGCATACCAGTCTTGTCATTCGGCATGATCGTAGCAAAAGAGACTCAATGACTCATTACTTACAGCATTATAAATGGCTACAGGTCACCGTGACCTGTCAGCTTTACATTTAGTCTTAGTAAGGTAGAAATCAAACAACATAAATCATTATTCTTACATTCACGATCCATAAACCAGACCACTGTCTGATTTCTGTACAGCTAGGACTATTCCTTTTAGACGATAACACAAACTGAAAAATATAAAAAAATAATGGGTGGGTGCAAATTGTAGGAAGAAAACAGAAAAAAAGTGAAAAAGAATTGGGAAATACTACATACACATCTATGCAAATGCATATAAATGATTGATATGGGGGGGGGGTCTATTTTACACACACACTTACTTTTAAAAACAGGTTGTATAACGCGTTGGACAGGACAATATTCCAAAACAAGGCCGATGTATCTGCTACTGACTATATTTTTTTGTTTTCTTACACTTTCATCGATGAGAGTAAGAAACCTTTCATGTGATGTTCAATATTTTCGTTAAGTCTGAACATCCTTTATATTTTAAATATTTTCACTTAAAAGATTTAATCTTTGGACAATAATAGAAAGTTATGTCTTTATTTACTGTTTTTTTTTCTGTTGTATTTGAGACTTTTTATGGTCGTTGCATGTCAAAAATAGTCTGAAAATTAGGTGTAGCACGCGCTCGACGAGACCTCTATTATTGTCATTGATGTATTGTAAGAAAACAAGAAATAAAGTTAGTATATGTATATATATATATATATATATATATAAATTGTATTAACTCACTCTGTGACAGAGAAGTATATACCCCGAAAAAAAATTTACTTGAATAAAGAAAACTGAACAAAGCAAACAAAAAGCCCATCGTATTATTTGAAAGTTTTATGTGGTAAATGTAAAAAAAAAAGAAAAAAAAAGAAAATGAATTAAAATAAATAAATTATATACGTGAAACACGATTGAGCTATTCTTATTATCTGGATTACAATATTTTGTGAAGCTCGTGGAATATCTTCAGTATTAATTTAAGATAGTAGTTTAAATACTTCGAAGAATAAGCCAAAACTATTCACAAATTTGGTCATCTTTGTTTAGCGCTGATCTGTTGATAAATAATAATAATAATATGGAAATAGTATTTCTCAAATTACAACATTTTTTAAATTTCAGAAAACAATTGAAGTTAAATCACTATTTCTATTTTTATGTTTCGCAAAACAGGAATTATATTTTCTTTCTTATCAAAATGTTTAACGTTGCTACATGAAACACCACTAGTGCACACTTTTACATTTTTAGGCATGTCTTCTTCTTTGTTAGCACGAGACAACTTTTTGTCCGTTTAGGAAATTCGTGTAAGTGCTATTTGCGCTAACAGTCCCTTGTTTCGAACTGATAGAACTGGAGGAAAGGCATCTAGTCAGAGGCACCAATCGCCAACTCTTGGGCCGCTCTAATCGAATAGTGGGAGTTAACCATTATTTTTATAAAGTACCCACGGTCCCAATATGCGGAGAATGATTTTAAGGTAACAGGACGCGGACCATGAACCCTCTGATTTATAGTCCAGTACGTTAACATTTGGCCAAGCCCGGCCGTGAATATTGTCAAACATCGCGAAAGACACGAGACAATTTAAGTTATCATATTGGTATTTTAACTCACCGAACTGATAAGAATATATTCGAAAATATAGTAATGTAGGCTGAGAACACGAAAAAAAAACAAAAACAAAAAACGTGTTATTAAACTACGTAGCGATTAAAAGTTTCAAACCGGTGTAATAAAGAAAAAAACGTGAGTTGTGTTTCCTTAACATATAGAAACTTATCTTTAAAATGCCTTTCACGACCCCCATTTATTTATAATGGGAGTTCTCAAACTTTTTTATTGGGCCCCCCTTTGAAAAAAATGTCAGGCTGTGACGACCCCTTCCACGCACACACAAACTCATAGCAAATTACTGTACAATATTTTAGAATATCTGTTATCGGAATATATTTTATGATCTCGCGACCCGCTTTTGAGTCATAACCCCTGTCTGAGAAACGCTGACTTATAACATCCAAAGTACAATCCGTTCACCGCTACCATTTATACGTGTCTCACACATATTGCAAATACTTTGAATGTAATATGCTAATTAAATTTGTTTAAACAAAACAAAAATTAAGGCGAAACAGGTAGCAACTTCCTAGTCTTGAGTGACATTTGTAAGAAAGTCTTGTAGAAGTAATTTACAAATCTAGTTCAAATAGAAAGGAAAACGTTTCAAAACGTCGTCCTTTCTACATGAGCTACTTTTATAGGTTAGTCTTCAAAACATGGCCCGGCATGGCCGGGTGGTTAGGGCGCTCTAATCGCAATCTGAGGGTCGCGGGTTCGAATCCCCGTCACACCAAACATGCTCGCCCTTTCAGCCGTGGGGGCGTTATAACGTGACGGTCAATCCCGCTATTCGTTGGTAAAAGAGTAGCCCAAGTGTTGGCGGTAGGTTGTGATGACTAGCTGCCTTCCCTCTAGTCTTACACTGCTAAATTAGGGACGACTAGCGCAAATAGTCCTCGTGTTGCTTTGCGCGAAATTCAAAACAAACTAAACTTCCAAAGATTTTCTCTTTAAACGTCTCATTTGTTCATAATGAGTGCTCTGCCCTAATCATCTATAAAATAAAAATCAGTTTTATATTTTATTCTAACTGGGCTTTACTGGAGTTTGAAAGAAGAGTGAAGTGGCGAAACAAGTTCAGTTAGTGAAACTGTAAATCAATCCACTACACTCTTTGAAAAAAAAGTATGACGTTTCATAGTTGCCAAGAAACTTATCCTCTTTCTGTACTGGTTCTTGGTTAATAGTTGAGGTTACAAGGAAGACGAAATTGGCCACATGGGGTCATTTTACGATCGGTATGATTCAAGGCTAGGACGCTGCGACATTGGTTTTTGTCAATGTCTGCTAAGCAGCTGCGTTGAACATTTAATCTCCATGACACATCCTAGCATTTCTCATGAAATGTTGCCCGATCGTAAAAATTTTTACGACTTTGCTTGCAAAGAGCTATATATTCTAACAAACTGTAACAGTTCCAGGCTTCCTTTTCCTACTCTCTGGCGTCGCTCAGCTCAGAATTCCGCTTAACTAACAGCATAGTCCCCAATTCATTCCTTTCTATGCAAAATTTTATGTGTGATTGCACTCAACAAAAAACTTGTTTTGACATTTACTAAGTATTTTCTTTTATAATCGGACTTTAAACTATTATGTGTATATCGCGCTTTAGGCCTATTAATTGTTTGATTATTTAAATTTCCATACAGACAAAACAATTTCAAGTTAATCCGGTAGACAACTACAATTATTATTATTACAGTATCGCGTAATGATAAAATAAAGGTCATTCTATGGTGGCGTTGTTTATTTAATTTGACTTGGCTAGTCGCCCGCCACCCACGTGACTCAATGTGTACCCGAAGCGATAAGTGGCAGGGGGTGTGTATAGTCTCGGAACAGCTAACAGACGAGTATACATAAGGCTATAGTTTGGGAGAATTTGACTCAATTCAGAAATATGATTCAACAGAAATATATTGTTTTTGTAAGATATTTGAAAACAAATGCGACAATATAAATATAGTTTGAACAACTGGGTTCTTTTTTCCTTTTTGACCGTTTGGCTGGGAGTTACAACAACGTTTGGAACAGCCAAACGTCTGTTCGTGCTTCGCGATTTCGCCCATTAAGAGTAGACATAGTCACACAGTGGTAGGAATCAGAAAGGACGAGGACAGCAAACGATATGACTGAAATTTGTCCGAAATTTCCGCAAATACATCTTTGTAGTTGAACGTGATGGAACAGTCATCAGTTGAAGTGTATACGCCACACCTGAAGAAGGTTTTAAAGAGTTATCAGGCGGCAGCAGCAGCAAGTTTACACGGACCGAATAATTTTATGGCTACAAGTACAACGCAAGGAGTTACGTCGCCAACGGAGAAGATGGGGATTGTGACGGCAGCTGGTAAAGACAAATCGGGGCCTTCGACAACCACGTCCACAGCCACGCCAGAGAAAAAACAGTCTTCGTCCGATTATAAGTCGGCATCAGATTATGACCCGTTTCTTGCTCCTCCTCCTTTCCCAATTCAACAACCGCCAATTATTATACCACCAGATCAAAGTCGTTGTGAACGTTCGGAAACTCTTTTGGAAGGCGAGACTATTTCATGTTTTCTTGTGGGAGGAGAGAAGCGTTTGTGTTTCCCACAGGTTCTAAATCCGGTACTTCGTGATTTCAGTTTACCACAGATATATAGCGTTTTCTCTGAACTTAATATCCACTTTTCCAGTTGTAACCAAGAACAGCTTGAAATTCTTAAAGTAACGGGAGTGTTACCACTCACAGCCCCAAGCTGTGGCTTAATTACTAAGTCCGATGCAGAAAGGCTATGTGCGGCACTTTTTCATAATCAGGAAGCTAATCCGAAATCAGAAACGCGGTTCTCTGATAAACGTTTCTTTAACTTTAAAGTTTATCATGAATGTTTTGGTAAATGTACTGGGATTTTAACTCCAGAATTATATACAACACCGTATTCAAAATGCATTGAATGCGTGGAATGCCATGGAATGTTAAGTCCACAAAAGTTTGTAACTCACGTTCATCGATTCAGCGAGAATCGCACGTGCCATTGGGGGGTTGACTCTGAAAACTGGCGGGCGTATCTTTTACTCTCTGATAATCAGGACAATAGTGAACAATTAAATGAGCATTTGGAAGATGTAAAAAGTAGATTTGACTTCTCTCAGAAGTACAAAAGGAAACAGGTATGCGTGTTTTCATTACATTATAATATTAAGTATTATCACGTTTTTAGGTCATATTTCTGTTCATTTTATAGTAGTATTTATTATTATTATTAAGGCCTTAAGGTAATTTATGAAATAATAATAATAAATATTATTACATTGTGTATTATGTCAGTCGAGGGTAAAAAATTCCGTAGGCCTTTACCTCAGAATCGTAATTTGGAACTTAAGATTTTTTTAATATCACTAATATTTAAAAAAAATCGTGAGTTTAAGTTTCAAGTTTCATAACTTCTGAAGTTAAACTAAAGCACAGTCGTTGCAGACATTATCTTATAATATAGTGAGCTTTCTTAACAAATGTTCCTTCTTATTTAACTTACACACGACTCGTTTAATATCTAAAATTTTATTTGAATAAATGGGAAACAGTAATTATTAAATATTTATTAATAATATAGGGGCGGCGATTTAGTAATTTTACTCGATTTTATTTATCTTACGGCCAAAATTTATTGGTAAAAAGGAGTTTAAATTTTAAGAATAATAACAATATACAAACAAACACGAACCATGTAAAAGATAAAATCAGTGAACTGAATATTAAAAATAAAATATAAGGCAAAGGTAAAATCAAACTAATAATATGTTTATTTGAACGCTTTTTTCATGCTGGCGAAGCATGAATGTAATTAATTTGTCATTATATTCGGACTGAGTGAAACGCTTCGTCGGCAATGTATATGGCGAAAATATTGTCGTTGGAATAATATTATACACTCTTCTAATTCTTGAAAATATAGAATGCAGTGTAAAAATTAATTGGCCTAATGCTAATGACAAGTAAATTAATAATAATATGTATGTTTAATACATATAAAATAAAGTGAGATGCAAACTGATAAACCTTAACCCTAAAACGATCTATACATAAATTATGTGAAGATGTATACGTACTTTTAAGTCGCATAAAACTTTAGAAACTTTAAATTTAATCCAGGATGGGTAGTTAGATAAAACAATGTTGAAATTTGTGGTGGGTTACATGACTGAAGGCATCCAACGTGAACTTGTACAGTTGCAAAAGTTTTAAACAATAGAATGTACCAAAAATCAACCTAAAAAGAAAACAAATCAAACGTGGAATTAGAAACATTTGATACAGCAGTAAAAATAACAAAAGTGAAAGAGCACTAATCTACTGTTTTGTTTTTTTGGGGGGGGGAGAGGTCGAATGTGTACCAGACCCTCCCAGTTCAAGCAAAATCGGACCTAAACATCCGATATAGCGCATGTCTATTGTGGAATGTTGGTGTTACCGATTATCTCGGGCTGTTTGTGACAGGTAGGTTGTAATATCACTAATGTACTTGCACGTATTACGTCATGGAGCCATTTTTATTGTTATCGTACATGTGTTGTCATCGCTTAGTACAAACGTAACGGCAAAGTTCAAAGTCTTCCGTTAAGTTAAAAATTTGTCATACAGGATAGGAAGCAAGTGTATCAAAATAAAATAGTTTGTAACTTTTGTCATTACGTGGTATTTGATCTTAAAAGTTGCCAAAAAGTGGAGTTAAATTTTTTTATAACTTTCGCCTTTATTAATTACTACAAGAAAGTCCACACACAGTTGGTGTTTCTCGCAAAGGCTTTTTGAATTTCCGTTTAATTTTTGGAACAGTTTTTTAATGTATAGTTTATTCAAATTATTTCTCAGAAATTCATATAACATATAAGAAGGTTTAGCGTTCTTTTTACTCATATTTAAATACCCGGATTTTGATAATGAAATACCTATTTAGAACTAAGTATTTTTTTTTCAGTAATTAAGAAAAAATCTCAAACTTGCAGTTTATGTATATACAAGTGGAGAACGTGATGTTTACCGCTAAACAATTTCGTTGTTTCTGTTTACGATGGTATGACATATTGTAAAGTTACATGTGTAATAGTAATAATAATTACACCTGAAATTTTTGAGTTAAATATCACGTGAAAATTAACATAATTGTAATAGAAGAAATCAATAGTTCATAACCGAATACGATAGGCAGTATAGTAAACAGTGATGAGTTAAACATTTAGTTATGGTTTCTTGCTTTCCAATGTTTTGTGAGGTTCGGCGTTTAAATTGTAACTTTAATTTTAAAGCTCTTATATGTAGTACTTTAAATCTGTAACCCCTAGTTACTGTACATATTAATTGGTATGAGAAAAAGATAATAAAATATCTGCATTATAACGTGATTTTTTATCACATACGTTACTATTAGGCTGATTGGTTAAACATTTTCAATTTATGATATCAAATAATATTTATTAATTATAAAAAGTAATATTAGATATTATAAACGTAGACAGCCGATACCGTGAGAGGGCATATCATGTATTCGCGTATGGAATTAGCGGAACTGGACAAAAGAGCTTGAGGTTAGCAACCAAATCACAGTTTAATTAAACCATTTTATACCTTAGTTTACATACATTATATTTTTAAAAGATTTACATGCTCAGGCTTAAAATTGAATGATGACTTTGTCAAATTAAAGTAGTTATTTTTTATTACTACACCGAGCATTAGATTATTTTTTTATTTTAAACGCAGTTAATACAACTTATAATTTGGGTCTTTCTGTTTCATGCACCGCGTTCAAATAGAAAGATATATATATCTGAATGTAGATTTTAACGCAGATTTCAGAAATATAAACTGAAATTTAGAGAAGTGAAAAGAAATATTTTTTATTTTGCTAGGTTAGGTCAGTTTATGTGAGGTTAGATCAAGTTAGACTAATTAGTAAATAATTAAATGTTATTTAAATAAAAAATGAACCTAATTTTAAAAAAATTCTTAAAAAATGAAAATATTTTCCCATTTCTTCCACTTTAAAAATCAATTCTCCAAATTTTAATTTATGTTTGTGAAACCTGCAACAAATTGAAAGTACTTGGAATGTGGTTAAGAGACGTCACAAGCGACATTGTGGAACCAATCGTAACATGATTGACTCGTATCTCTGCGAGTCCGTTTGGCGTCGTATGCATGAAAATTATGATCTCTTGTAGGAAATATTTAAGAATCTTTCAGAATTTTCACATTGAATTTGTTACATTGACATTAGATATTATCTTGATGTCTTGCAATTCTTTTAAATACATCGGTGAGTATGTCATGATAAAAGTACTTCCTTTGTTTCGTAAGCAAAATAATAAAATAAATATTCTCATTTATCCAAATTTTAATATATATTTCTGAAATCAGCATTAAAAATACATTCAAAAATATATATTTCTTTCTGTTTGAACGCGGTGAATGAAACAGAAAAGATCCTATAATTTGAATAGCAAAATGTTTTTGTGAACTCTTTAGGATACCAGTAAATGAGTAGATAAATAAGGAATAACTTTTAAAATGTTACAGATACTGTCGGTCGATTTTTAGCCACAACCTGATAATATTCATTTAAGCAACCGATGATATAAATAGTTTCTCGACCACTGCTTAGTTGTATCCTTGTCGGCCTGGTGAACCCTGGTAGAGGCCTAAAAGTAAAATCCTTGTTGGCACTGGATGTAGCAGACATAGATAGTGTGGTTGGCATATTATTACAATCTTTTTTGCTTTCACTCATATTTTCTTATAATAGCCCATTGTGTAACTTTTCATTGAAAACAAATTCATTCAGGAATCTGACATAAACCAAAATGTAGCTTTAAAATGATAAATCATTGAATTATCAATAAGTGATGTTTGTTCAGAAGCCCGCCCTGCTTTTCGTAAAACAGTTAACGTTAGATTTACGGCAGGGGAAAGTACCAAACAAGCCACTTTCTACGTTCAGACGACAACAAATCCACCGGAGCCATTGCGTGATTTCTAATACTAGAGCCAGGAGTAGCCGATTAGGTTTAATTGATCTAGATTAATCTCCTTTTTATCTTCTATTATTACATATAACAGCTAATCTTAGTGACCCTGAGGATAGAGTTAAATGTTCGGATCAGATATTTAATCACCAGAGCTATGAAAATGGCTTTGATAGCCATTTTTCGGCAGTGAATGTTACAGCACTTTAGACTAAAGGTAACTCACCTTTTTTTAAATTGTTAGTAAATGTTTATTTAAAATTTATCAACATGATGATTAATAACGTTTATATAATGTGATATTTTTGTGTATCATTGTGATTTTAGCCATATGAATTTCTTAAACTGTTCCTGTAGAGTTCTTCACATAGCCTGTACAAGTTTTATATTTTGTGATTGTGTTGTTTCGGAAACTTGAAACAAAACTCCAGAACACACAAGGACCAGGAGTAACGGCATAGTTACTCAACCACATCAGGATATATATTTCTAATTCTCGGGTATCCCAGGAGTAACGGCATAGTTAGTTACTCAACCACATCAGATATATATTTCTAATTCTCGGGTTATCCCATAAATTTTTAGATTAGTTTAGTATAATGTATGAAAATAAAGAGTTATATTTGACGTCACAGTTTCCTTGTTAGAATTTTGGATATACCAGTTTTGTTATGCTTAAATGAAAGACCTTTTTTTCATATCCTGGATATAACTGCTCTCTCTATGTATGTGTCGTGTTTTAGTCTGGTTCGCATCTGAAGAGAATTTCTTGTTTATTATTATTATGATAGAATCGTTACCAAGTTTTGTAAATTAGTTTGTAAGTAAGGAGATTCAATAGAATTTTTTATTGTCTTCTAGACAATTTTATGTACTAGCCCTGAAGAAGCCGCAAAGGCGAAACGTCGATTAAAATAAAAGTTATCTTATAATTATATTCCGTGTAAAGGTCGTATTTTTCTAACTTTATTATCAACATTAGTTTCAGTAGAATGTGATACTGAGTGGGTCATGTTGAGAGACTATAAAATATGAACCTGTTTGTGGGAAAAAAGAGTAATAATTTACAAACCATGAATTTATGTATATATTTTATGCATCGACCGAAGAATAATTCTCACACGTGAAACGTAGTTTTATGCAATTTT